AAAAGCCAAACGGGAGGAGGCGAACCTCCCTCACGGGCGGGCTTTGAGGCCTCCCTGTGCTAGATCCGGGGCCTCCACCCGTGCACAGACGAGCTTCCTCGATGAGGAGGGACCTGCCAGGCTGTCAGGGACAGCACAGGACTGTGGGGTGCTGGCCACACACACACACACAATGAGCAGCACCCCACCATCAACCCTCCACAGCCTCGAGTGGGCTCCGCAGGTCCCATAGCCGGAATGAGGTCTGGGCCAACCCGGGGCCGACTCAGGGCAGTGACCCTCGGACAGGCGACAGGACAACGGGGGAAAAGATGCCACTGCCACTTAACACTTGTGTCAGAGACCACCAAGGCCTGCAGCGCGCACAGAGCACTGCAGGTGACACGCCTGGCAGACGCCACGTCCCGCCTCGAAGATGGGCAAGAGACAGAACACTGTCCACAGGGGCTACAGACTCCAGCTCAGCCAACAGGCAGCTCGGAGACAAAAAGGCCAGGGCTGCAGGCTGCGGAGAAGCGAGCGCCTCCCGCAGGGCTGGTGGGAAAAGGCAGGATTCCAGTCAGCAGATGCCACACTGTGCTTAGGTCTAGAACTGAAAAGGAGCTCCTGCATAGCGAGCAAGATGGGCTCGGCTGGCGCAGGGAGGCTGCAGCCCAGTGCAGCGCCTCCCACGGCCCCCGAGCAGGGAGAAGGCAGCAGGGGCTGCAGGGCCGAGTTCCCGGTCACGAAGGGCAGGGGTGCAGGGCTGCTCTCTGCGTTCCCTGGGCACCCTAGGCCGGAGGGTGGGTGTGGGCACAGTGCACGTTATTCAGGTGACAGGGACTTCAGGCATGGCCTCTCTCTGCAGGGGCTGGCCTGCCTCAGGAACAGGAACTGTATGTACCCCAGGACAAGGCTGTGTGAATCTGGCCCCAAGAGGCCCAGAGCAGCCAGAGAAGGGGCGCGTGTACCGTCCAGCTGTGCCCCATCCAGCACGGTGCCCTGGCACTCACTTGCCCTTGGCTGAGTGTTTGGCTGTGATCTTGTCCAGCTCCTTCCTGCCAGTCTTGAGGTCATGCCTGCCCTCAATGGAGCCCGTCTGCATGGCGTTCTCGGGGTCCCAGAAGGTGATCTGGGAGTTGAGGGTGGCCACAGCCAGCTCCTCACCGTCGGGCCGAAACGTCACCGCCAGGGCTGGAGAAAAACCAATGCAAGCTCTGGGAAGAGTCCACCCGGGACACGGGAACCCCCAGACAAAAGCACCAGCCCCAGAGGCCAAGGCCCTGCCACACCCCGCAGTGGTGGGTGCATGAGGGCCACCAGCCACCGTGCTGAACAAGGCATGGGGCACACGGTGTGGTCAGACAAGGGCTGGGTCAGGCTCCAGGGCCCGCCAAGGGGGAGACCTGCTAGCAGAGAGGCAGACAGGTGAGTGAGAGCCAGGTTCCTCTGCAGGGAGCACGCGGACGGGAGGCAAGGGACGGGAGGCAAGGGACGGGAGGCAAGGGTGGCGGCGGAGGCGGTGGCTGCCCCCGGGCCACCGCGGTGGTTAGCAGAGCAAGCCTCCACCTTCTCTCCTTCTCACAGGTCACAGCCCAGGCAGAGCACGGACCACTTCCTGGGGACAGTGGTCGCCTCCAGGGCAGCTCTGGAAAGCAGCCTGAAGCGGCAGCAGACGGGAGCCTCACCCAGGCTCAGGGCTCTCAGACTGACCCAACAGGGAAGGAAGCTTGGCATGGATTTGCCCTGCACTGGCCACCAGGAGCAAGGGGAGAGAGACAGGAGGGGAAGGAAGGCCAAGGCTGGACGGGGGAAGAGACCCCACCCTCGGCCTCCCCGTCCCCACCCAGGCTTGGGCTAGGGCTACCATCAGAGGACAGAGTGAGGGTTTCCTTGGTTCTCCAGCTATCAAACATGTCCCACAGGCGAACTGTCTTGTCCCAGGAGGCACTGGCCAGGATGGACCTCATCGGGTTAAAGCACAGACCACTGATGGGACCCTCGTGGCCAGACAAAACCTATAGCGGCGGCGAACGGAAGAGGCCATATGTGGGACAGGTGGTGAGGGACGTTCGGGGAGACAGGCCACTCCCATTCCTCACCCGCCCCCAGGTTGGAAGAAGGAACCCCAGAATCCCAGCCAGTGCTTCAGCCCTGCACAGCCCCGAGCAGGGCCGGCCTCTCCCCAGGCCCACCGTCCCCCAGCACCCTGAGAACACATCTCTTACATCGAGGAGCCTGCCTGTCTGCATGGACCACACAAAGACCTCAAAAGAGTCCTGGGCGCCTGCAGACACGATCTCCCCGCTGCAGTCCACGGCCACGCAGGAGAACTGGGTGGGGCGTGGAGACGTGAAGGTGCGGAAGTTCCGGTACCTGCCAGGACAAGTCCAGCATCAGCGGTCTCTGCGCCGCTCCCTGAACCTTCCGCCCCTCCCCGAGCCCCCCCACACCCAGCCCCGCACACCACAGGCAGCACGCCTAGAGAGGGAGGGCCTCACCTGTGCAGGTCAAAGGCCCGGACCGTGCCGTCCATGGACGAGGTCACAATGACGTGGCCGGTGGCCGTGAATGTCACACCTGTGACGCCACTTGAGTGTTCCGTGAAAGTGACGAAGCAGAAGCCACTGAGGGTGTTCCACACCTTCACCTGCAGGGCGGGTGTGCGGGAGCCATGTGCAGGTACCCGACTCCCGTTCACCTCAGGAGCCCCTCAAGTGCACCAGCAAATCCAGGTCAGCACAGAGGCCAGAGGCCCCTGCCCACCCCCAAAGGCTGTCATCCCCGTGAAGGCCTAGGATGGCCCAGCCACCTCAGGCGCAGCACCATGACCCACTGTTCCACTCAAAGCCTGCCAATCCAGGAAGACCCCCACCCCCACCCCAGCCCTGCTCACACCACCCAACCTGGCCAAGCCCTCCTCCCCTACCCCATACCCACCTTGCCATCGTCCCCACCAGTGACGAGGTACTGCCCGTCGGGGGAGTAGGCCAGCGACACCATGCTGTTGAAGTGACCCTGCTGCTTCAGGACGTAGGACTCACTCTGCCACTCCCACACCAGCAGCTGGCCCAGGCCTGCATACAGCACAGAGGACCCCCGCCAGGGCAGGGCCAGGCCTGCGCTCAGCACAAGGCACGGCCCAGCATCCCCAAGACCCCACGTCTCCTCAGCGGGGCCCGGGCCACCCTGCGCTCCACTGCCCACTGCCTTGAGCTCAGGCCGGAGGTCCAGGATGGGAGGCGTCCACTGACTGGGGCTCAGGCCAGGTCCAGCACAGCTGAGCAGGGTGCAGGCATCCACCACAACCCTCCAGAAGCCAAGGTCCAGCTGCCATTCAAGGAGCTGCCAACTGGACCAGAATTCAAGCAAGAAACTACACGCTTCAGAGGTGTAATCAGTCTAGAAACATGTAGAAACTTCACTGGCTTTCTCTGCTCTGGTCCTGCTGGGTCTGTCTTGGGAAGGCACTGTTCCTGGGACGCCGGGCTCCACTAGGAAGGCCAGCTTCCAGGGTCTACTCTGCCGCAGCCCTTCTCTACTTGGAGCCAGGCCCAGCCTTGGGGAGGTTTTCCACCAGAAGCTCTGCTCCCACAGCCGGCAGGAAAACACACCTGAGCAGCCAAATGCGATCCAGTCCCCAGAGCTGTTGATGGCCACCGAAGAGATCCTCTGGTCGGAGATGCTGAGCAGAGAAGCACACCATGGGGTCAGCAGAGAGACCTCCACCACCTGGGGCTGGGCACGAGGGCCGCCCGGGATCACCCCTTTCCCTCCTGCAGGGTCCTAGGCCAAAGTTACTTGTGCGTGAACGTTTAAATTTTCCCCATAATCTAAAGGTGAAGAACAGAAGACAGGAAATGAGGAGCAAAACCTGCTGAGCTCCACCTCTGAGCCCGGGGCTCCTGGGCTGCTGGAGAGGCCCCTTCGCGTGGGGCCCAGCCTGAGCCTTGGGGAGAGGCCTGGAAACCCACAGAGAGAGGGCTCACCTCAGAGAGTGGATAAGGTTGAATTCTGGTAGCTCATGCAGATGGAAGATTCCAGAAGCAAAACCCGTGAC